ATATAGAACAAATAGTGTTAGTATGTGGTCAATTAGTTACTACAATTTAAAAACTATCCATTGCCATATATGGTCATGTTATTGCAACTATAATTATATATTTGGGAGTAAAAATGATAAAAAATAAACATAAAAAGCCATTACAGGAATGACATGCTAGGAGGAAATTTAAACACAAGGAGGGAAAATTCTTCCATTATTAATTTGGATATGAAAAATTATTGCAAAACTGTTATTATAAGAGGATAAGGATACTTTAACAACATTTTTTTGACAATATTTTAGCATCGATTACATGTCATTCTATTCTACAAATCTACGTGTCATTTTAACATCATCTACATTGTTGTTACTCCACAACAGCAAAAAGTGTGTGAGTTTTAGCCGTAAAATGTGATTATAAAATCATTTTTAAGGTTTTTGGTGGACCAAGACGTGAAACCATTCTTTTTAACAATGTTATAATTGTTAGAGTTTCACCGTATCAGTACTTCAAATTTTTGACAAGACTTGATATTTACTTTTGTGGGGGTAACCTTACACTATTATAACCTTCTCTTCATGTTACACTATGATTAACCCCAACTCTTGACAAATAAGCAAGCCCAAAATCATAAATATTATAGTAAACTGTCATTCTACTCATTCAAGTTGTGTTCTTTTGAAAGGAAAGATATGAGGAAGATAGAAAACAAAGTATTTGGATGAATTTGAAGATAAAATTTGTATTGTTTTCTTTAACTCTTTCCTGTATAGCAGAGTGAAATACTCCTATTGTGGAGTAACATCAATGTATTTCCTTATAAAAGTAGTTTTCAATAAATTTTCATATCCAAATTAATAATGGCAGAACTTTCCTCTTTCTCTTTGTGTTTAAATTTGCTTATAGCATGTCATCCTTGTCATGGCTTTTTATGTTTAATTTTTTTCATTTTCACTCTCAATAATATGACTAGATAAGAGCAATAAATGGTTTTTAAATTATAATTATTAAGCACATATTAATATTATTTGTATTTTATGTGTATCGATCAATGGTTTACGATTTCAGACCAATCTTCATTGGTCAATCACTATTCTCTGATTACCTTTAGTTGACCATTCTTCTATCACCACCTTTGAGTGACCACTCTAGACTGATTACCCTTGGCCAATCGCTCTAAGTTAATTTTAGTCGATTACTTTAAAAATTCTAAACCAATCACCCTAGGTCGAGCACCTTGGGTCGACCACCCTTAATCAATCACTCTAGTCCGAGAATCCTCAACTTTGATTTCTTCTACAAAAATATATTGTGTTGTAGAAAGTTATTCATTAAAAAAAAATTCTAAAATAGTTCTAACTCATCTAAATATTATTTTATATCACTCACCAATAACAATTTGATAATCTTACTTTTTAATTTATTAAAAAAAAATTAACCTATCACATATATGAAGACTTTATTCTTAAATTCATTCCACCATCACCTTAAATCTCCTTTAAAAAAACAAATTTGATTCTCAAATTCATAAAAATTCATTCTCTTCATACCTTAAAGTCTGAATAAGCAAATAATATCTTTTATTCTTAAAAGTTAGTTAGTTTGAATTTGTTTTCATAGTCTCAAAAGCGAAGATAAAGTTTTATTTTATTCTTAAAGTTACGCATTTCTAACATTTTTCTATATATTTTTAATAAGAGTTTTACAAAAGAAATTATTTTAATAAACTTTTATCCATATTTATACTTTTAAAATAATTTTTTATTTGTTTTACTTAAAATTCAGCTCTTAAAATTTACGTCATATTATCTTATTCAAATAAAATGTGTCATTGTATAAAAGTAGTATTATAAATACATTCATATGTTGTAATTAAGATTTACACATCTCTTTAGTTTTAATAAAATGATAAAGTTGCATAGATTATTGTACGCACAGATAGTCTAAAATATCTCCAATCATAAAATATATATATATATATATATATATTTGGGAGACAGTGTCTACTTGACATTAAGATAATGTCGGCTCCGTGCTGTGTTATCTGTAATTAGCAATGAAGTGTATTAGAAAAATGTTGGCATGGATTAAAGTATTTAATTAAAGAATCATATGTCATTACAGTATTCACCAATAGCAACAAAATAATAATATGTTTAAGTCTGTTTTGATGCAAGTCTCGTTGTTATAAAGCTCTATATCACAAACTAATGTAATTATTTTAAGGAATACAAAGAAGAATAATAAGAAAAAAATTTAATCATAATATTTATCAATAGATTTAATAGAAAGTTAAAATTTTCTAATATTTATTAACGAATTAAATCGTCCATAATTTTTGATAAATATTCATTAATAAATTTAAGTTGTCAATAATTAAAGATAAATATTTATCAATAAATTTTTAATTATCATTATTGAAACATTTTTTTAATTCATTGGTAAAATTTATTAATAAATATTTTACAGCAAATTTTTATTGATAATTCATTAGTAAACTTAAGTTATTAAAGAATCTATATTATTTGTGATGAGTTTTATGCTATTACTAATATATATATATATATATATATATATATATATATATATATATATATATATATATATACACATCTTAATTTTAATTATTAAGTATTTTGACTTGAAATTATTGTCTATTAAGAATATTATTTGTAAACATATTTTCATTCTAGATAGCACAAAAACAAATTATTTTTAAATTATAATATAAAACTACAAGAATCATTAATTATAATTTTATTATTTTTTTGGATAGTTTGTCATATTTTCCACTTTTTGAAAAACTCGTATATGAGAAAAAATATTATAAAATATATTGTCAACTCCTTATGTCATGGTGATTCATGAACATACTTACAGAACTTGATGTATGAATATCTTTTAGTTTCTCATTATTTAATGTCTCAACCTACTATTTAGGTAATCACTAAAATGACTAAAATCGTGAAATCTTATTTTTTTTTAACGAGTTATTATACTTAATAATATAACTATATCAGAAATAGAACGAAATCAACAATAATATTATATATCATAAATTTGTACTTAAGTAATGATAGATACAATTTTGTTTAATATTGTGAAAACAAAAATAAAATTATGAAGGAGATTTGTGATATTATAATTGAATTGTACAAATTAAATCACTTAGATAATTTGAATGAGTCCATATCAATGATAAACTATATCATGATTTTAAGTATTTTATTTTTTTAGTATTTAACAACAAATTCCAACGTAGTTAAATATGATCATGCAAAGTTTCTACTCCGTAATTTACATAATTCTTAATACCCATTCATCAGCAAAAGGTACAACATGTGAAGAAATCGAAGAAATCTATTGCCATTCACAATTCCATAGCCTCATCATGTGTGAGATTTATACTAAAGATAAGATCTTGAAGGTGGTGAGAAGGTATATAGTAATGATGAAGACTAAAAATATTATGACAATCAATACATGTTTTAGGAGAAACATTGTAAAAAGTATATACATCAATTGCATCAACAAGTCAAGAAGAACTTGTGATGATGTGACATCACAAACATAATCATATGTCAAAGAAAGATTTGAAAATCCTTACACAACATAACATCTTAGTATATTAGATTTGATTTATTATTACGTGAATGTTATTAAAAAAATCCTTAAATACATAAAAAAAAATCTCACTTAAAAGGAAAAAAAATCTAGATGTTCTACATTTTTCTTGAAGATTTTGGAGAATGAAGGTAAAGAGAGAACGATTGTTCTATTTGTACCACGTGAATCACTAACTACACCCACTCGTTCTTCTACTTCTTTTTCCTTTAGCCCAACTACTTTATCACAATTGTCACTCAAAATTTCTAGTTTCACTCCTCTTTTCAATACAATTTTCACATTCTTTATAGTTACACAATTAGTTTTAAACCTATAATATACATATCAATTATTTAAATTTTAAACGTAACTATTAATTAATTTCACCCACTAATATCATGACCTCAATTTCTAGCATGTCACACATACATGTGATCCGAATCATGCCAAGTATAGATATTTGGATTTTCAAATGATATTAATTCATATAAGTACTCTTAATCATTGATATTTAGATGCATGTATTGTGGAAATTTGGCATAAGAAATTCAGATTGATGCACTGAGACTAGATTCACAACAATGTACAATGCTACGTATCAATTCACAAAAAGTTCAAACCACTATCACCCTCGGTGGGATCTGAATCAGGGTGTCAGCTTCCATTAAAACGGAAAGTTGTAGAAAAAAAATCCAAGATTGTTCAGACAATAATACACAAATAAAGATATATAGAGATAAACTTCATCATTAATTAATATCTATTTTAATTTATAATTAGTAGCGGGTGCTTACAAAACCAAGCTAATTATTAGAAACAAACCTTATTCATTTTCTTTAGTAACGATTTCAAAACTGTCATAAAAAAATGTAAACTTTTTATATAGTTTGTAATTATGATGGTTGCATCATTTCGTTGTATTAATGAAAATACAAGGTGACATGCATGAAGAAAAATAAACAAATGAAAAAAGCCATCAAACTTTTAAAATAGGATCAAACTTTTTATCAAAATTATTTCGATTATGAAATCGAGATTAATGACTAAATATATGTCCTAAAAAATCCAACTTCTTGTCTTTGTTAAAGTTAATCCTGATTACTCGATCAAACTAAAAGGTTATATGCAAGTATTTCGATGTCAAAGTCACTCCAGATTTAGCTGTTTGAGTAATTAATGCGATTTTCTCTTTACTTCAAATTTGTATTTACAGTTTTCGGAATGAATTTCGGATTAATGATAATATATTTGTGACTCAATTGCTGAGAATCACACTTTACTTTAAAATAATTAGTGTTATTAATAATTTCGTAATACTCAAACGATTTGACCCATCAATAATATATGATTATCCGGACTCTCGTATAAACTTGACCGTAGAGTCATACTGTACAAAAACTAAATAAAAGTACAATTATTAGATTTTGTGATAGATACTAGACATTGACAAAACAGATAACATGATCATAAAAGAAATGAAAACACAAGAAAACAAAAAAGCCTTCTCTATTCACATTTCAACTAGCTCTTATGGTTATCACTCTTTCTGTTAACTGTTAGATTTGAATGGAGGTTCAGTGGTGACATTAATGACAAGTGAAGAGATGTTGTTGGAATCTGGATTATTTGCTTGAAGCATTGCACCCTTTAAAGGTAAGGGAATATCCTCCACCACTTTGTTTTCCACTTCTTCTTTGTGCTTTCCCCAAAGAACTGAATATAACCCTATAACGATCAAGATCGCACCAACCACACTGCACCCAAAGTCAAATTCATTCTCCAACAAGATTAGTGCATCATTATTAGGAATCAAAGATCTTTCTTTTTTTAAATAATTCTTAAATTTATGCTTTAAACTTCTCTTCAAAGTTTCAGAAAGAGTCACGTTTCATCATAAATAACTTATATATGTAATAGGCCATCATCACTTAAACTAATAACTTGGGAAACCTTTTTTTATAAACAAAAGCTTGTTTATTCATGCTACTTGTACTAGTTTTTTTTTAAAAATAAGATCACAATGGTGGCCCTAATATATATGTTTTCTCTTTCTCTGTGTATAATCTTTGTGGTACAGAAAAGGTTGTGTTTTTTTCTTAAGGTAAACGATTTATAGATGTAATTAGGAGTTAATCTTATGCATTTTAAATATTAGTGTTAAATATTGTTCTTTGGGATAAAGAAAAGGTAGTAAGTAACTTTCATTGAACATTCTTTGTTCAAATGGGTATATTAAATCTTAATTATATATATATATATTCTCCCGAACGGGTTTAGGGTTCATAATTTGTCTCCATTATATATATTCTTTTAGTTGTAAGATTTTGTGTTAAATATATACCTTGGATTCCGTTGATAGAATTTAAGAGACAATTTTGTCACAACATGCAAAAATACATATAGTTAGTGCGAGGCAAAAGCCAACAAGGCCAAGCAAAATTAGTTGTTTATTTTTTTTATTTTTTTTTTGGTATGATACAAATTATTAAAGATATTGCGTGGTTTTACTTAAGTTTTCGTGCATAGTTGACCTAATTTAATTTGAAAAATTGTTTTTTTTTAATACTTTCATTTAAAAGTAATTATTTTTGTGAGAAAGGGTTTCCATTGATGAGTAATATAGAAGGAAAAAAGAAGAAATGAATGATGATAGAAATTTACCCTCCAAGAAAAATGTGTTCTGCAAGGATAAAGGAACCCATGATGGCTACAATGATCATCATGAGAGGGCTAAATGCAGTTGCAAAAACAGGCCCTTTCTTCTTAATCACCAACCCTTGAACATAGTATGATATGCTTGATGTAACAATCCCCTAATACAAAATTATTAAACTAATATTAGAGAAAGAACCTAAGTAAGCTATTAATTATATTATAAAAGCATCCAAAAATAAAAGTGTTTATTCTTACAGCATATGCAGCAGCAAGCAAGTTCATATCCCACCCAATACTCCACACTGATGGATCGTGTTCCATAACAAAAGTAACAGCAATAGCTTGAATAGTGCCTAAGAAGCACATCAGTGATGTCAGGCTTAGCTGGTGATTTTTGTAGGTTTCAATAGCTTTGGCCTGTTCAACAAAACATCAAAAATAATCATTCTTCATTATGTACTGTCAATACAAACACAAACATACAAAACAAAACATAATTAGTGCTTAAATTTTACTTAAATAAATCATTAGTGAAAAAAATATATTATGACAAACTATAGATGTTTTGGCAGTCATAAAAAGTCTATGCATTTTTGATACAGCAGAAAAATAAGTCATAATAAATTCGCAATCTATAACCTTTTCTGTTATATAGTTTAATATATCCAATCTACTCTAAAATACTTTCGGATCTTTCGGTTAAAAGTCATTAATATTTAAGTGATATTATCTTTGGATCTTGAAACAGGACTCAAAGTTCACTTAGGAGAAAAGAAATCTTAATTTTATTCCATTTTATCTTACAAGATTCACTATTCCAATACCCCCGAATAAAACCCACTATCGGAATACCCCTAAATAAATAAATTTAACAATTTTGAACAAATTTCACCACAAAATACTTCTTAAAAAGAAAGAAAAAAATCAGCTTTTCTATGAGATATAATTAACTTAAGAAAAAAGTTAAAAGTAATTCTTTGAGAGAAGTTATATGAAATAGTTTTAACAACTTAATTCATGCAAAAATTAATTTTAATCAATGAAGACGCTAATTTGTTGCAATGGAAAAATTTGTTGAAATAAACTTTAAGACTTCATGAGAAGAGAAAAAATGAATCTCTCAAGTGAAGTGATAAAAGATAGAGAAAGAAAAAAGACTAATACTTTTGTTTGGTTTAATATATTTAGAAGTGGTCTTACTTGTAAAACAAAAAGGCATGCCCAAGCAAGTGTAGCAATGATTAGGAAAATGGAGCCTATGAGCCAATCTTTGTCCGAAGGTGTTGTTCCGTTATTTGTTGTTGTTGCATTATTGGTTTGGTTCTGATGAAGGGCATGTTTGGTCCAAACCATTTCCACCAGAGGTCCTTTGTACAAGGTCATCACCATGGCCCCACCCACAGTCACCATTGTTCCCACCACCTTTGCTTGGCACCTCACCTTCTTCATGTTCAACTTCTCCATCCTTCAGTTTCAGTACATGAAATCATCAAATTTACCAAAATCTTCATTACAGAACTAAAAATTGATGTTTTTGTTGCAATTAGGTCAAGAGATACACTTTAAATTAACTCAGTCCTGTAAAACGGTCAATGTATAATACGAGATTTACACTTCCTTCTATACTATAAATTCGTTTTATTTTACACATCGATATTCTGAAATTAAATTAGGTTTAAAGTTGAGTTTTTAACCTTATCTTCAGTATAAATGGAATTTCAAACCAATTATCTTAAAGTTTTACCTGCATAGAACTGCCATTATAAAAGTCATGGCAGGAAGCACATTACTCATTGCACATGAGAAAGTTGGAGATGTTAATTTCAACCCAGCATAGTAGAAGTTTTGATCAATCACAGGCCTGTTAATAGAGTAGCAATAAGCAACTTATTCTTACATTAATGAATTTAGTTCTTTATATATATTGAATTATGGAACTAACCCAAGTAGGGCAAGGATGAAAATTTGCATGAAAATTCTGAATGTGATCCTTGGTTGAGCTTTCCTGTGGAAATTGAAACCAGGCATTAGCATTAAGGTTGTTGTTTTGATTAAAAAGCATCATATGCATATGTTTGTGCTATGATGAACCTTTCAAAGATGAAGGCAAATGGAGCTACGACAGCAGTGGCAATGGCATGGCGATAAACGACAAGAACATAATGGCTCATTCCATGGTTGAGGGAAACCTTGGTGATGATGTTCATGCCGGCATAGCCAAATTGCAGAGCAATCATGGCAAAGTGGTGTTTGGAGTTCTCAAGGAAGTTTGCACAATATCCAAGCCTTTGAGTGACCATTTTGGTTGCTGTTTTTGGAGAATTTTGAGAGAGGCTAGTTTTGATGAAAAGAGTGAAAACGAATAACCAAAATGAGACTAGTGTAGCATAAACAACACTTGAAAGAATCAAGGATTGTGTTTCTTCCTAGGAATAGCAAGTGAAGGCACCTAGTATTTATACCAACATGGAATCAATTGTCTACGTCATATCATTTTAAATATGATGGCCTTTCTTTTCTAGTGGGATGGACGTAGGAATCAATTTCATGGGGCAGGTCAATATCCATATACTGGTGCCTGTAAATGTTTCCAATTTTAAATTAATTAGTCATAAAATTAATTATATATATTAAAAATAGATATTAATTTGGATGTTTTAAAATATATTAAAAATACTTTTCTTTTAATACACTAACACCTTATAATTGAATATGAGTATAAAACTTATTTTTATACTGAGTGTATGTTTTTTTTTCATTAACAAATCCCATTATGTATAATTGAATCAAGGGTATATAATTTCTTCCCTTATCCATGCTAAAATGAATTGGATTCTGAACAAAAAAATAGGTTGGATAAAGTTTACTTTGATGATTTCAATGTTCCAAAACCAATTGAGAATATCTCACTAAAAGTAAACCAGTAAATTAAAGCGAAGAACACCGACCAAACTTCCATGTATGGGTTAAGAAAACAAGCTAAGTTCATTTGAAAAAAAAAAGGTATATATTTAGAATAATGATTTCGTTTCAAAATGTTCCATGGGAATAATTTGAGCATATCTAGTTTGTGAATCTCGACGGATTTTGAATTAATTATTTTGTAACCTTTTTCTATTAGTTATTTGTAAGTGACCCGCTTCTCTAAGCATTCTCACAAAATTAACTAGTGGAGGTTATAATAATTGATAGTACTTTTTGTAACATTCGACTATTTAATTATTTTTAAATTAAGATTTGTAAAGTTTTACGTAAAGAACCGGAAAGAATCAAACTTCAAATATTTTAGAACTTTTTTTTTTAATGAAGAACTAATGTTATGGCCCCAGAGAAATGAGACACTGGTGGAGATTAGTTTTCCGACCTTTTTTTTGAAATTACATACCTATTAAAAAAATGGAAAATATGTTTTGGTGAAAAAATATAAAATTTTAGTTTATAAACTCTTAATGACTAAAAATACATTTTTCTTGTCACTATGTTATTAATGTGAAATATTCATCACTTTTTACGATGACTTGATATATTAATGGAATTTTTTCTTCTAAATTATTTTTTCTCTAACCTTAAAATCCGACATATGCTTAAGAGATTCAAGCCTAATTATCCTCAAAGCAACGAAAGGGTGGTTTTATATAATGTTAAGATCCGAATATTACACTAAAAAGTTAAATTATTTAAATGTTGTCCATATATGAGTTGAGTTCAAGTTCAAATAAATGACTAAATCAAATTGAGGTTGGGTAAGAAAAAGGGTAAACTCATCCCTTAATCATATCTTATTCTTCTTATTCTAGGGTACTATTTTAGAAAAAAATATATTACTAAATAACATTCCTAGAATAATTATTTTAAATTGTACTTTTTATATTTTGAAATAATAATTATATACATTATTTATATTTTAGAATCATCATTCTAAATGTATTTTAATATAATTGATTAATCATTATAAAATCCAATTAATATTATTTTTATTTAAAATGCATTTTGACTTCAAATTATTGAAATGACGTCGTTAGCAATAATTATTGCATTTGACATTTTTTTTAAGCAAAGTAAGATTTTGAATGTTAAAATCTCTATCATTTCTCGACTAGGGAACTTATTTCAGTACATTCAATCTCTAACTAAAAATAGAGATTAATTTAGAATAATCATAATAATAAAATTTTGGTAGCTAATGTTAGAGATAAATTTAAACTTTAATTCACAAATTATTTATAACTTTTTATTAATAATAAAGACATACTAATAAATTTCAGATTATAAAATTGTGTTTAACTTAATCAATTGACTAATTATTTTTTTCTCTAAATTTCATTGTTATTTAATACTTTTATTACCAAAATGTCAAATTTTACTAGAGATTACTTTTGAAATTATCGAAACTTTTAGCCTCTGTAATTACAAAGGTTTTAGTTTAATTGGTTCTGTTACAAGGATTTTCATAACCGTCACTACTTCTTGGGGTTTTGCAAAACCATTGCTATTTATTGGGGCTTCCAAAACTGCTGCTACTTACTGGGAATTCCAAAACTGTCTCTATGTACTGGGGTTTATTAGTGTAAGGGCAGAAACGGAAAAACATAAGTGGGAGGGGTAAAAGTGAGAAATCACAATCAGAGTTAGGATTAAGTAATAATCCCACGTGCAAGGAAGAGAAAGTTGAATCCAGAGACTTCGAGAAAGAGGGAGAGCGAGAGTGAGAGCTCGAGAATGGAGAAAACTAGGGTTCTTAACCCTTACGAGATTCAGAGATGAAGATGATCAGAGTAGAGAAAAATGGAAAGCAAGCACACATACAAGGTACTGAGTAACATCTAAACTGTATTTCTGTTTTAAGTTTGCTTTTATAGCTGTTCTGATACACTGAATCTGTTTGTTTTTTTTTTATTCTAACACTCCTCCTAAACAAAAAACGTTTAATCGAACAAAAACACGATTTTATTGAAGAAAAACACTTGTTTCACCGATTGAATCGGTGAAAATTCTTCTCCTGTGATTCTGAGCCTTTTGGACCGATTAAAATCGGTACAAACACTTTCTCTGTAGCATACGAGCACTTTCCACCGATTAAACTCGGAGAAAGCTCTTCCTAGGTTGATCTCCTCCTCTCCGGCGGAAACCCTAGGTTTTCGCCCTCCTTCTGGTGCGATCTTCACTGATCTCAGCTCGCACCATCCCAATCTGCTTTCTGAGTGACTAAAAGCGCTCACTTTTGAGTGCTTTCGTGAGTATATCTGCTAGTTGGTCTTCGGATCTACAGTGTACAACATCCAGTCTACCACTACTGACCTGTTCTCTGATGTAGTGAAATCGAGTCTCAATATGCTTGCTCCTGCCGTGAGATGCAGGGTGCTTAGCAAGATCTATGGCTGACTTGTTGTCAACAAGCAGCCTCACTCTTCCAGTTAGCTCGATTTTCAACCCTTCCAATAGGAATCCCAGCCAAGTTGCTTGACAAGTAGCTTCACAGGCAGCTATGTATTCTGCCTCACATGATGATAAGGCAACCACTGGTTCCTTTCTTGAACTCCGTGAAATTGGTGTTTCTCCCATGAAGAAGATGTAACCAGCAGTGCTCTTCCTATCTTCCTTATCACCACACCAGTCTGCATCTGAGTAAGAAGTGATTTGCACTTCTTCCCCAGTCTCTCCTCTTCCCAACAGTATTCCATAGGAGTGAGTGCCCTGCAAGTATCTTAGAATGCGTTTGACAGCATTCAAGTGTGACAATCTGGGGCATTCCATATACCTACTCACCACTCCAACACTGTAACTCAAGTCAGGCCTTGTGTTACAGAGGTATCTCAAACTCCCAACAATACTTCTGTAAGCTGTTGGATCTACAGCTTCTTCATCTGGCTCCTTCTCTAGTTTCAACCCCACTTC